TATTCTTTAGAACGTTCCTGATGATATGTTAACGTATATTTCAAACGTATTCTGTTTATTCTGGCTGTGAAATGTAATTATCTGGAATGTATAAAGAAACGCAGCCATAATCAGTCTGCCTTCTTGAGAGCTATAGGGGTATGAGCGATTGATACCTATTCGACAATTGCATAGGCGTGTAAGTTAGGGTTAGATTTGTCGCGAAGAGAAAAAAGCTTGAACTCCGGAACTATGGCCCTATGACTTATTCAATTTGACCAGAACCTACAACTGTACCAGCTGTGCCTTCAGGTAAATCTAAAACTTTGTGAACCGAATACTTTTCCTAAATGCTTGGAGGCCGTTTTTTTTTTTGTTTTTTGTTTATCAGACTTATTATGGGGTCAAAGTTCTTTCTTGAGAGCTGCATACTGGCCTTTAGGTATGAAGAGAGCAATTTGAAATCTCTAACGGTGAGTACTGTTACTATATTTGTGATTACCTATTGAGTACGTGACAACGCTAAAGCATGTGTTAATATTTTCAATTTCATTAATTTTGCAGAAAAAGTTACAAATTTTTATTAAATAAAAACTTTTAAATCATTTTATTTGCCTAAATTGGTGTGTTAAAAAGTAAGTTTTTGCGTTTGCATTTAATAATACAAAGTATCCAGTGCAGAATATTAATCATGGAGGAAATAATTATGTGCGCGGCTATTATTGTGGAGCAGGAAGAAATTATACAGAGAAGACGTCAGACAGTTTTTTTGACAGTTTTACCCTTGCAGTTGGGGTGGTTTTAATAAAATTAATTAAATAATTGCATGGTAAACTAACTTTATTTAGTATATAACTTGATAAATTTGTTAATTTAGCCACTAAAGCATTTTAATACAGAAACACATTTAACGTATCATTCCGTCAATCACACATGTTTCACACTTATCACCCTGTATTAAAATTATTCATTACCGTTTTGCTGATTAGCGAGTGTCAAGGAACTCGAGCTATTAAACGTCATTTTGGCTTTTCACATTAAAAATTTTGGAAAAGCGGTTGCGGTAAATTGTGTGCAAAAATAAAAACTATACGCAAAAACAGTGTGAAAAGCACAAAATAAAACCATTTCAAACAATATTTACTGTAGCAATTCCAACAATTTCCCTACACATTCGCACGCAACATGTTGATTAAAGTTAAGGTGAGTAGGCAATAATTGAATTTTCTGGATGAATTTGCGAATCATTGTTGATGCAATGCGGGGCTTAAATTCCGCAGGCTGCTTATGGACATCTTGACTTACATACATTTAATTAATTTTCATCTATTATTATGCTAGACATTAACTGGTAAGGAAATCGAAATCGACATTGAGCCTACAGACAAAGTGGACAGGATCAAGGAGCGAGTGGAGGAAAAGGAAGGTATACCACCACAACAGCAGCGACTCATCTTCTCTGGAAAGCAAATGTAAGGCAAATAAATTATGTATGTACGAGTATTTTTTTTTTATATAACCTTTATTTTCATATCCAACAAACCTAATGGCACCAAATATTTCTGTGGTATAAAATAGTAGCTTATGTCGAAAGGCTGGCTTTAGTATAAAGCAACATTCGCAGCATACGATTGCGAATGACCCATTCGCGCCGAGCCATTGAAGAACTTTTGGCAAATAAACGTGCAAAAAATAGTACCGATAGTAGCAAATCAATATTTCTATTAAGTCTCATCAAAAAATTCCTTGTCGTTTAAAGAATTAAGGGAATGCCGCATTACACTAAAGCCAGCTTTCCGACATAAACTACTATTCCATACGAACACACCCAGTAGATAATTTCAAGAGTTAAAAGCCCGAGAATCAAGAGGCCTTCCACTCTACATTCCTTTCGTTTTTGTATGGAGTGGCACAAATTGAAAGGCTTCTTCTTTCGCTACCCATGGAAGGCATTCCAGAAGTCGTTTGTTTCAAATATGTGTTATTGCAACTTATAATGTTTATTTAAATTCATTTTGAATGCTAAACAATATAAATTTATGCATTCGCGTAAATTGTAAATGGATAAGCCCTTCTAGAAGGCATGCAAGGAAGCACTTTACTTAAGAAGGCCTACCTAAATTATCTTCTGTGCAGATGTATTCAGTTGATATATATTTTTATTCAAATGGATTCTTCGCCGCAGTAAATGTGCTTTTCTCTTCCAGGAATGACGACAAAACCGCCGCCGATTACAAAGTTCAAGGTGGCTCCGTACTTCATTTGGTGCTGGCGTTGCGAGGTGGACTGTTCTTATTTAAGGCATAGAAAAAATAAAAACAATTTATATAAATGAAAAGCAAAAACGTTGTGGGGCTAAAACACGATTTATTGAGTGGGTGCGCAACACAAATCGAATCTCGATGCAATCTCAATGAAATGATGTTTGCACTCGTTTGAAGAATTAAAAGAATAACGATTTTTTATTAAAATTTGCCCCATTTAATTACTAAAAACATTAAAGAGGCAGGCGTGCCTTAAATCATGCAAATAAATTTAATGCGCACGCATGTCAGCTAGCACTTGGAATACGTCCGACCAATAAACGATTTTTAGGTGTACATTGTTTTGGTTTTAGGCGCGTCAATAGTACTTCATAACCAACTTCTTCCGCTTGCAGCTTGCGGTCAGTATCAACAATATCCATACATAGCTGCCCTTGTCGTGTAGTTTCTGGGCGGCAGTTTAAGGTACCCAGTTCATGTGCTTGGTCAGCGGTATGTGCTATATACAAATAATCTCTTTCAGTCAACACTCCGCGAAAGCGGTCACTCAAGGGATATGGAATGTGTGGCATTGGTTGTAGCGATCCGTAGCAGCAAGGACAACAAGCAAACTTTGCGTGCGAGCGCCGACACTGTTGAAGCACAATGTCGGTGGCCGTGCCGCATGCATGCAACGAGGTGCCAACATCAAAATTACCCTCGAAGTAATCAATATTACACTGATAGAATCTGCAGTTTTTCAGTCCCAACTCAGTGGCACGCTGCTTCGCGCGTTCTAAGGAAATTGCTTTATTTTCCATCAATATTATGGTGCACTTAGGTAATTGCAATGCCAGCAATATTCCCAAATGACCTGTCCCACTGCAGAAATCGACGATTCTCTCGTTTGGGTTTGCTAATGATATGACCGCGTTAGCAACATTTTGTAGTTGTTGGCGTTTCCGTATAATACGTTCTCGGGGTAACGCCGAACTCTTTTCATGTTCTGGTTCTAGAGCATCCCAATCAATATGTTCCTCCTCAAATGTCGTTGCTGACTCACTGTTAAACTTCAGTTGCAACATTTCTAATTTATTCAGAGCTGCATCGACTTTACTTTGATCGGTAAAAATTCGATTGCGCGGCTTATATCGCTTAGGATCGCTCTTGTATAGACTGGCAGCTTCGCAATCGGGAATTTTAAGTAATGGAATTGATGGATTAGCTGATTGATGCAGGTACAATTCATTTAATATTTGTCCACAGCTGCGATCAAAAGTGTCAATCTGTATATCACACGGTAAAATGATACTTTAAAGTTATGTTTTTTTTAATGGGTCGATTACGGATAGCAACGCAACCTAAGTTGGGTTACCGCTAGGCAATTAAGTGAATTTTGAGGTACATTTGAGTGAAATTAACCGCAATAAAATTTTTCAATTGCCAATATAGGAACTCAGTTGCCATCTTTAATAAATTTTCAGCTCATGGCAACGCAACTGAAGTTCGGTCGCCATACATAATCGGTGCACAAGTTATTGGTCAACTTACCTCACTCAGCCACGTATTGATAAGTGGAAAATGCACCAACATATCACAATTCCTAAATATTAAACACATGAATGTGTATAACAATATATCGGCTATAGTAAAGGCGATTCCTTCTGCAAAACGGTGTTCAATAGGCAATTGCTCCTTAGGTATGCTACAATCGAATATAACTTTCCCCTTTTTTTTGTCGCCCGGTACCTTGTTTTGTTGGTGCGCTTGTTCACGTGCAGTTTTATATATGTTATGCATCCGCACTGGTTCGTTCATGTGTCGTTCAAAACGTGGTACTACCTTTGGTATCTCATCCAAGGCGTCGCCGGATTCCAATGTACACAACAGCCGGCTGATTGCATCGACGACATCTACTTCGCAAAACCGTGTCCAAATGGATGCCTCCGCTGGGGCTAACAAGCAGGCACCTTTGAAGCCCAGTAATTTACGGCGCTCTGGACATTCCTGTCGTGAAACCAGTTCCCTGCAAACAGCACACATGGCTGCTATGAAGGTATTTTCATCTTTTTCATAAATAGGTAATTTAAGGTCGCTTATAGCCTCAACACTTGTCGCGTCTTTGCAATGTATCTTTTCCTCGGTTAGCTCGCGTCTCAACGATTCTGAACGGAGGCGCACTTTGCCCCCCTGGATAGTGGAGCGCACGAAATTTAATTTAATGTTTGAAGGTGATTGTAGGTATTTGTACATGTATAATGCCATGAATGACTGAATACTGCTGTAGATTTCTGTATTATCATTGCGTGTGTTTATCTCTATTTCTATATATAATTGATCCATTGTAAGGAGGTTCGCAAAGAATTTTAATTCAGGAAATTCGTCAACAAACTCTTTCTTTGGTTATGTTTACATACAAATGTCATATGTGCACAAGGCCAACGGAATGCAAATGAAGGGTTGCACTTGGATATATTATTTTTTTTTAATAAAAAAAATTAAGTTTTGCGCTTTTCTTGAATATTAACATATTTGTTATTTAATACGAAACCTTAAATCTATAAACACTTTCATTGCAAATTTAAAATTGTAAATACTTTTGTTGTATATTTTTTTCGCGTTTTACAAAACTGGCACCCAATTTAGAGCTTTTGCAGAGAGCTTTCGCATTTATCAAATCAGCTGGTTCCCCTATAATTTACAAATTACGCCAACGGAATTATTTGTTTAGTAAACATGGAAAAGTAGAACTTTATATGCGCATAGAAAAGTGCATTTAAATATTATGCGTAGTACAATCAAACAAAATCTCATTTGCATAAATCGATAAATTATCACTAATCTGCGTATTAGTTATA